CTTTCCCTTCTCCTTGAGCCAAACCTATTCTCTTAAACACAATATTGAAATGAGGGCAATTAATAAGCCTAAAATGGCCTGCCTCTAAGTGTTCAAGTGAAAGGAAGAGTCACATGTCTCACTTTAAATCAAAAGCTAGAAATGATTAAGCTTAGTGAATAAGGCATGTCAAAAACCAAGAGGCTGGGGCTTCCCTGGTGGCGCGGTGGTTGGGAGTCCGCCTGCCGATTCGGGGGGCGTGGGTTCGTGCCCCGGTCCGGGATGATCCCGCGTGCCGCGGGGCGGCTGGGCCTGTGAGCCATGGCCGCTGGGCCTGTGTGTCCGGAGCCTGTGCTCTGCAGTGGGAGAGGCCGCAGCGGTGAGAGGCCCGTGTACCGCAAAAAAAAACAACAAAAAACAAAAAAAAACCAAGAGGCTGAAAGCTAGGCCTCCAGCGCCAGTTAGCCAAGTTGTGAATGTAAAGTTCTTCTTTAAAATAGATTACTTAACTATGAGTGTATTCAACGGGAGGGCTTTTTTTTTTTTCCCCAGTGTGCGGGCCTCTCCCGTTGCGGCGCACAGGCTCAGGACGCGCAGGCTCAGCAGCCGTGGCTCACGGGCTCAGCCGCTCCGCGGCACGTGGGATCTTCCCGAACCGGGTCACGAACCCGTGTCCCCTGCATCGGCAGGCAGACTCTCAACCACTGCACCACCAGGGAAGCCCGGGAGGGCTTTTTTTTTTTTTAATTTTTAAAATTAAATTTTGGCTGCGTTGGGTCTTTGTTGCTGCGCATGGGCTTTCTTTAGTTGCGGCGAGCGGTGGCTACTCTTAGTTGCAGTGCGCGAGCTTCTCACTGCGGTGGCTTCTCTTGTTGTAGAGCATGGGCTCTTGGCGCACGGGCTTAGTTGCTCCGCAGCATGTGGGATCTTCCAGGACCAGGGCTTGAATCCGTGTCCCCTGCATTGGCAGGTGGATTCTTAATCACTGCGCCACCAGGGAAGCCCCAAGATAAAGTTCTTGAAGGAAATTAAAAGTGCTTCTCCAATGAATGCATGAAACAGCCTCACTGCTGATAAGGAGAGTTTACTGGTCTTGATAGAAGATCAAACCAGCAACATTCCCTCAAACTAAAGCCTAATCAACAGCAAGGCTCTAACTCTCTTCAGTTCTACGAAGATTGAGAGAGGTGAAAAGCTAAAGAAAAGTTTCAATCTAGCAGAGGTTGGTTCATGAGGTTTAAGAAAAGCAGCCGTCTCTGTAAGAGTGCAGGGTGAAGCAGCAACTGCTGCTGCCACAGAAGCTGCACCAAGTTATCCAGAAGTCTAGCTAGGATAATGAGGGTGGCTACGCTGAACAAGACTTTCAATGTAGACAGAACAGCCTTATGTTGGAGGAAGATGCTAGAGGAGGAGCCAATGCCTGGCTTCGAAGCTTCAAAGGACTAACTCTCTTGTTAGGGGATAATGCAGTTGAAGACAATGCTCATTTACCATTCTGCAAATCCTAGGGCCCTTAACAATTATGCTAAATCTACTTTAAAAACAGAACAAAGCCTGGATGATAGCACATCTGTTTACAACCGTCTACTGAATGTTTTGAGACCTACTGCCCAGAAAGATTCCTTTCAAAATACTGCTGCTCACTGACAATGCACCTGGGCACCCAAGATCTCTGATGGAGATGTGCGAAAGTTAATATTGTTTTCATGTCTGCTAACACAACAACCATTCTCCAGACCCACAGATCAAGGAGTTAATTTTAACTTTCAAGTCTTACAGATAGTGATTCGTCTGACGGATGTGGGCAAAATAAGTTGATATCCTTCTGGAAAGGATTCACCAATCTAGATGCCATTAAGAACATTTGTGGGACTTCCCTGGTGGCGCGGTGGTTAAGAGTCCGCCTGCCAATGCAGGGGACGTGGGTTCAAGCCCTGGTCCTCTTCTGGAAAGGATTCACCAATCTAGATGCCATTAAGAACATTTGTGGGACTTCCCTGGTGGCGCGGTGGTTAAGAGTCCGCCTGCCAATGCAGGGGACGTGGGTTCAAGCCCTGGTCCTGTAAGATCCCACATGCCACGGAGCAACTAAGCCCGTGCGCCACAACTACTGAGCCTGCGCTCTAGAGCCCGCGAACCACAACTATTGAAGCCTGTGAGCCTAGAGCCTGTGCTCCGCAACAAAGAGGAGCCCCCACTCGCCACAACTGGAGAAAGCCCACGTACAGCAACAAAGACCCAACGCAGCCAAAAAAATAAATAAATTTATATATATTAAAAACAGTTATGATTCACGGGAAGGGGCCAAAATATTAACATTAACAAGAGCTTGGGAGAAGTTCATTCCAACCCTCATGGATGACTTCGAAGGCTTCAAGACTTCAGTGGAGGAAGTAACTGCAGCTGTAGTGAAAATAGCAAGAGACCTAGAAGTGGAGCCTGAAGATGTGACTGGATTGCTGCCATCTCATGATAAAACTTGAACAGAGGAGTTGCTTCTTACGGATGAGCAAAGAAAGTGTTCTTAAGATGGAATCTACGCCTGGCTGGTGAAGATGCTGTGAAGATTGTTGAAATGACAACAAAATATTATATATGAGTCAACTGCTTGCAGACATTGGACAACAGGCAATGTAGAACTGTGACCCCCAAAATAAGGGCAAAAATTCGATGAGCCTAAGACCACCCTGACTGTGTGGAGGCACTCTGGATCGTGACAAAGCGAAAAAGGAACAAGCAGAGAAGAGCAGTCTCACTGAGTTAAAAGACACTGGAGTTTGAGGAGGGTAGTTAAAATTTGTGGGGCAGAATACAGGACACAGCTGCAGAGAGAAGAGTCCTAGAGATCTGCATAACAACTGCCTTAGGTTTCTAGCTAAATTCTGAGAACTATGCCTGCCTGAGTGGTTCTTTCAAGCTTCAGAGAATTAATGTGATATCCCTTTTGGCCATTTCTGATTTCCCATTTCTAGTTGAGGAAGTTGGAGGAATACGTACCAGTCAGGTGAGGCATTACTAAATTTATACCTTTTATGGGAGCTTTCACAACATGTGCAAAGGACACAAGAAAGCCATTGATTGAGGCTAGAAATTCGGTGTGGCTACTGAATGGAACTGAGGGTAGAGTAGGAGTGAGGGGATAAGAAGGGAGCTTAGCCTTTACTCCAAAGGCAATAGGAACCACTGGCTTAAGCACAGAGGGGTGCAGTGGTGACCTTAGATTTGTATGGGAATGTTAATCTAACTGTAGTGTGGAGAATGGACTGTAGACAGGCAGAACTAAACAAGCAGGAAGATCAGTTAAGAGGCTGCATCAGTGTACATCCAAGTTAATGATAGCCTGAATAGAATGCAGGCAGCTAGTTTAGAATAGCACAACTGGAAGGTGTTCTGGAAGAAGAACTGACTAGATGTGGTGATATTTATGGCTTTGGTTGAAACTCCTATCTGTGTTTAAACAAACAAACAAAAACCAGTTGAACAGTGAACAGAGTATATAGAGCATAGGATGAGTTAGGGGGTTTTCTTCAGTTTGTAAAGTACTTAAGGTTTTTTTACTTCTGGACAGAAATGTATGTCCAGTAAGTAGTTGTTTACCTAGGTCTGGATGCTCAGAAAGAAAATCTCAGTTGGAGATACAGATTTGAGAGTCTGTAAACTGGACTAATCAGCTTATCAACAGTAACTGCTAAAGGTGATCTAAAGAACCTATGTATAATGAGAAGAGGATTTTGAAAAGGACATTAACACAAAATGTAAGTTGCCCAAGATCATTCATGTGTCAGCAGCATTAAGACGTGAGCTCAGTTCTGTCTCATCCAAAAACTTTGTAATCTCTACTATACTGTGCTATTTCTGAAATTAGAAATGTGAAAATTCATTGGAAACTTATAAAGTGTTATAAGCGTATAAACATCTCCACTAAAATAAACTAGCTTAACAAATATCCTTTGAAATACACGTTAATGTAGAGTAACTTGTCATATATCTAAACTTTATGCACTGGTGAAGCTTCTTTGCCTAAATATAATCTTTATTCAAGGGTTACGTAGATTAATTTTTAATTTTGATTAAAATTTTAAAATAATTTTTACACTGGAAACTAACTTAAGAGAACGCTGACCTTGGTCTTAGATTTTTCAAAGACAAAGCTTGGGAAAAAGTAAAAATGTTCAGCCTTAGGTCAAAAGTTTTATTCAGATACAGAGGCCCATGTCAGTTGTGTGCTGGCCAGTATTTACTGCAAGAATAACAACTGCATTTCAAGGTTATTTATTCTAACTACTGTAAGTAAATAACATCAATTGGTGTACTTGTGAAACGACGTACAGTTTTTCCTCTGATATTTAAAACTAACAGATGTCATTAAGTGCCATTGTAAAAGTTGTCTAATGTGTAAGATCAACAATTAACTACATGGCCTGTATTCAATGTAATATTTTATTTCTACTGTATTAAACTAAAGTCAAGAAAATATCAAGTTAACTTTAAAGGCAAATCTTTACTCCTTAAAGAAAAAATACGAACTGTAGTACTTTTATAATAGAGCATGATATTTTACATAATATAAACAAAATCACTAAGATACCTAAATGTTTAGTTTCCTTAAACTACAACAAACCACAGAACGGGTGGAAAATGGGTTTACTTATTGGCAGCACATAAACAACTTGGGAAAATGGGCAGCATGCATTATTTTACCTGTCTGTACACAGGCACTGACACTCGCAAGCTTTAATAGCCACCGCCTCCTCTTCCTTGTCCAAAGTAGCCGCTCCCATAGCCCCCTCTGCCAGCTCCTCGCTGGGACCCCCCAGACCCTCTGTAGCCTCCCCCCGGGCCACCTCCATAGCCACCTCGGGAAGTCCCTCTGTAGCCTCCCCGGTAGGAGCTGGAGCCAGCCCCATAGCCACTGCCACCGTAGCCTCCACCACCCCCATAGCCTCCACCGCCATAACTTGAACCTCCCCTTCTATATCCACTTCCATTGTCATATCGAGCCATCTTGGGAGGACGTGGACCATCTCCATACCTAGCAAGAGCACAAAACCACCACTTTAGCAAAGCATCCTTAGTACTTCTCAACTAGTCACAAAATATAAACATTCAGTCACATTTGAAAATCTAATGCATAAAGGGAATGAAGCCAAAGGCACAAATACTGAATACATCATAGACAGGTTAAATATTAAAATGAGTTAATATGAGAAAAGCACTTAACACAGTGTGGCACACACCCTAAGTACTCTGTTTCATTAGTTTAAAGTAGCTGACTCAGTTATAGGCAAAATGGGAATCCAGAATCCATAAAGCACACAGCACTTCTGTACATTAAGATAACAGTTTATAACCAAATGCAGTAAGCGAATCTTGATGGGGAGATTAAAGAATATTTTTGAGTGACTAAAAAAAATTTTAATGGTTGTACATTAGATAGTGTTATTGTAACACATTTTTGGGGTGTGAACTAGTATTGTTTATGCTATGTTCTCAAAAGATACATGAAGCATACTGACGTAAAATGCAACTTAATCACAAACGATTAAGCAAAAGAAGTGTGTAATATTTATATGAAAGCAAGTGTCACAAAATGCTGACAATCAGTGAAACCTAAGAGACTATATGGGAGTTCACTGTACTGCTGTTCTGCCTGCAGGTATCAAGTATTTCCAAAGAAAAAGCTGGGGGCAAAGAAACTTTCTGAAGGTGAAAAAAACTGAAGCAGATAAAACATTTTAAGAATTAAGAGAAACTTCATACTTCTTTACTTTTAGATATCCATGTTCTTGTATTTCCCTAAGATAAACCCTGATGCTTTTCATTTGAAGAATGCATTTAACACCTCATCATTTTTTCTTTGGAGATGGCAAAGCAGTACTGTGAGAAGAGGACTGTCTGGGGTCTTTCACTTTCCTGTCATGTGACCTATCCTGGGCTCTGTATGTACTTTAAAGATCTCCTTCTATCTCTAGCACGCACTGGTGTAATAGATCATTAACACAAAAGTAACACCCTTTTTTCTGAGTGTGCTAACCGGAACTAGACTTCATATTCAGCATTTGTCTAGAACTGTAACTCAAATAACAAGGCCTCTATTAACTAACTGTGGGAATTTTAGGCCAGTATAAGATTACTGTACTCTGCTTAGTTCAAAGAGAAGTTACTGTGGTACTCACCGTGTACTGCCAATCATAAGGTTGATACCAGCAGCTGAGGGCCTAGAGATTTGGCGGATTGTGTTTAGCATACGTTCATTAACGGGGTCCAACTGGCTGATGATATCAGGCTGCTTGGTTACTTCAACAACCAGAGCCTCCATGGCTGCCCGGAGAGCAGTGATACAGGCAGCAGCTTCATGAGATATTTGCAGTCTGATCCTAAAATAGAGAAAAATGATTAAAAATGAGAGAGGTGGTACACATTGAAAAAGACTATTATCTTTCAATTTCACACATGGCAAGTGATGGGATAAATTTAACTTCTTTCCAAGTACCAATACTTTCAACTAATGTAATGGCCCCAGAATTAGGCAAACACAGGTAGGAAGAATAATCATCTAAGGTAACTTCTTGAAATTCGCTGCTAGCTATTGGCAGGAGTTGTGAACCACAAAGTCTACTGAGCAAAATACTCTTAACAATACAGATCACTCAGCCTCCAACAAAAGAATGAAATAAGACACTAAGATTGTTTTGCAAGTTTTCAAGAATATGACTGAGCCTACTAACCATTCGTTATATTCTATCAATTTCTGCCAAGTGCTTACTACCCACTCACCACTAGTTTCTAAGTACTATAAAGTATATAGAAAAAAGAGGTGCCCAAGCTCCAATCAGACTCTAATTCCTTAGTGTAGTATTCATGGTAGTGGATGCGGCTCCAATGCCTAATGCATCTGCTTCTGCTGGTATAGTCAATTTAAGACTTTACTACCAACTATGAACCATACTCCTAAGATATTCTACTCGCCAAGAAAAGACAGTGTTATAAAGCATCTCATTTGTGCCATCAAATTTTGCCATGTTTCACAAATTAAGTTAGATTAGCAGCTAAATCCCATTACATTTCAATTTAAGAATTCAGTTGAGTTCACATATGAAAATCCATACCAGTCATCTACAAGCACAATCTGTCCATCAGACTGGACTTTCTTGGAGGCAAAGAGAAGCAGCTGCAAGGGGGTGACTAAGGTCATGCCTTTAGCAGAGATGGCCCGGGTTCGAATCTGAAGACAGAGAAAGAGGCAAGAGGAAATAGTTGACATTCCAACTGTCAATCAACTACCATATAATGATAATGAACTATGCTTTGAAAATTAAAACTCATGTTCCCACTGCACATTAATAAGTAAAGATAATTTGGATTTCAAATGTAAACTTTTCTAAACATCTTTTCTTACCTTTTCACCAAAAACAAAGAAGGGAGATGGGTACTTCATGTCTTGGCTACTAAAAGGACAATTAACAGATGACTTGTGGATAAGCGCATTACGCCCTTCAGTGGTGAGAATCTTTCTCTTTTCCTTATGATAGCACACATTGGGGTACACGCCAAAGGCCAGGAGAGAGATAACAACATCCAGATTATTGTCTGGTCCAGTGTTAGTAAACACTTGTGTCAATAAACACTCTGTTAAGAGGAAGGAGATTAAAAAAAAAAATCAGTTATCTGGCTAATCCTTACATTGCATGTATTTACCAGAATTAGATGATAATTAGAAGAATTAACTCCTCCTCCACCCTCCTTTTTCAAATAACCTGTCTAACTTCCTCTCTTCTCAGAACTCTTGCACTCAGATTAAGTGCAAGGAGAAATTCTGCTGAGTAGCCACAATAAGAAAATTAAAATGTCTGTATTCTCTTATAGATTCAATAAAATATAAGCTTGGAGTATTTTTAAAATACCCCCCAATAACCATCTACTCTCAGAATAAGAGCTAGACTGATATGACCACAGTGTTCCATATGCTGTTTTTAAAAAGCTGTTCCTTCTACAGAAAATGGAATGACAACTTAAGAGGAACCCACTAGAAGGTGGTGGATGTCTTCACCCAAACTATGCTTTAGGCACATGGAAAGTATGATGGTAAGAGAGCAGATATACTTCGTTCTAAAAAACTTGAATCCTAGTCCTATAAACTTCCTAATTGAGTCTGGACATGTAACTTAGGCTTCTGTGTCAGTTTCCTCATCTATAAAATGGGGTAGTAATATATGCATCTCAGGACTGTTGTGAAGAATCTATCACACAAAAATGTTTTTCTCTTTTCCTTTGATTTTGAGTAAAAAGCTACGAACTGGGGCTTCCCTGGTGGCGCAGTGGTTGGGAGTCCGCCTGCCGATGCAGGGGACACGGGTTTGTTCCCCGGTCCGTGAGGATCCCGCGTGCCGCGGAGCAGCTGGGCCTGTGGGCCGTGGCTGCTGGGCCTGCGCGTCCGGAGCCTGTGCTCCACAACGGGAGAGGCCACGGCAGTGAGAGGCCCGCGTACCGCCAAAAAAAAAAAAAAAGCTACCAACTGGGAAATCCCTGGTGGTACAATGGTTAAGAATCTGCCTGCTTGGGCTTCCCTGGTGGCACAGTGGTTGAGAATCTGCCTGCCAATGCAGGGGACACAGGTTCGAGCCCTGGTCTGGGAAGATCCCACATGCCACGGAGCAACTAGGCCCATGAGCCACAACTACTGAGCCTGCGCGTCTGGAGCCTGTGCTCCGCAACAAGAGAGGCCGCGACAGTGAGAGGCCCGCGCACTGCGATGAAGAGTGGCCCCTGCCGCTCGCCGCAACTAGAGAAAGCCCTTGCACAGAAATGAAGACCCAACACAGCCATTAAAAAAAAAAAAAGAAAAAAATCCGCCTGCCAATGCAGGGGACACGGGTTCGAGCCCTGATCCGGGAAGATCGCACATGCCACGGAGCAACTAAGCCCGTGCGTCACAACTACTGAGCCTGCACTCTAGAGCCCGCGAGCCACAACTACTGAAGCCTGCGCGCCTAGAGCCCGTGCTCCGCAACAAGAGAAGCCACCGCAATGAGAAGCCCATGCACCGCAAAGAGTAGCCCCTGCTCGCCACAACTAGAGAAGGCCTGCGTGCAGCAACGAAGACGCAAAACAGCCAAAATAAATACATCTAAAAAAAAAAAATTAAAAATTTAGTCAGTTTACAACAGAAGAGAATTACTTTAGTTATCTAGATATTCCCCAACTACCTTCTGTCTCTCAACTAAACAGCTGTTTCTGGTTATGTGTTCCAATTTTCAATGTTTCAGGAAAAACTGTCTCTTAATCCAACTGGAGAAAAGTACAATAGTTCAAATTCACACAAGAAATGAACAGCTGGATTACTATTCCTATATCACGTATCAAAGTCCTCTGTAATTGTCCACTAAAATCTTATTTAAAGCCAATTAAAATTTAACACGGTAGAGTTTACTTCACACCTAAAACTGAACAGATGGGCAAATTAATAAATCACCTCACAAATCACTACTTGAGGTATTTCAACAAACTGTTCATTCAAAAGGTGCTAAAAGCTAGACCTGTATTCTTCACAAGTGGATGGATTTAAAAAATCCTCCCATCTAAAAGAGTGGATATGTGTACAACTGATTCACTCTGCTGTACAGCAGAAACTAACACAACACTGTAAATCAACTATACTCCAATAAAAATTAGTAAAAACAAAAACAAAAAGTCCTCCCAAAGTAGCACAATTCTCAAAAGGTCTATTAATCATCTCTGTACTAAATTACAATTTGAACATTATAACCTTTTGCATCCTGTAAAAGACGGAATTAATGTGAAAAACTGACTATCACCAGAGTTCAAAGAACTAAGAAATAGCCAGGAACATAGAAAAAGCAAAGGGTCTAATGTTGGAAGCTAAAATATACTGCACTGTCAATGTGCATGTATTACATTAAGGTTACTTCAAATGCGTCTTAACAATGTGAGAATCGTACCTTCTGGAAATCCAGAATTAATCAGGATCTCTTTGAGCTGAACTTTGGCTTCCCAGGTCATTCTAAGTGTAGCCATATTGAGTCTTTTGTGCTCACAAAAACGTATCTCTGCTTCTTCTCCACCCATTCTAAAACAAACAGGTTGTTAAAAGTCATTCCCAAAGCCTAAAGAACTAGATACACATTACAAACTAGAGACAGTTCACCCAAATCTTATAACTCTCCTCTTTCAAGCCCATACCTAGCATCATCCCAAGCTTGGAATACTGATAAAAGGGCCACATGATCAGAAAATCTGTTTCCAGCAAAATTTCGATGGATGTAACCCAGTCGCTTTCCTTCACTGATGAAAGGCTCCGGAAAGCAGGTGGCAGCAGAGATGGTACAAACAGCATCTCCCACACTGAAACAGACAGGAAAATTCAGTCTAGATCACATTCTTGTTCCAGCAGCTTGGGCAGTACTGTCAACTGTGGGTCAGTCTTTATTGGCTATGATATTGCTTTAATAGCACTGAAACTGGCTGAACAAAAAGAATTTTACAGCTGCTCTCCAGAGGCAAAAAGGGGAAAAAATAATGAGTTCTGATATTAATGGAAGCATACTTACCATAAACTGACCAAGTATTATATTTTTCCTTTCCCATTCTCCCTCATCTTACAAAATTTCTTAATCTTCAAAACCTTCTAATAACATATACCTGTTTTCCTAATCTTTCTCTTTCAAGGAAAACTACTTAACCTACTTAACTGCACTTCTCTTTTGAGAAGTCTGTGCTCTTTCCCCAAAAAAGTTGGGCCCAGGTGTCCATCCATTGACTGTTTGTTCTTCTCATTTCACACTTTTCTCAGTATCTAAAGTATGCCACTTCTCTACTGAAGAATATTTAGTTTTTTCTTCTATTCGAGCCCATCCTGTTTTTATTGGGAGGGGAATAAAATTCGAAAACTGTTTTACCATTTAACTATCAGCAATAAGACAAAGCACTTACTAGAAGATACACCCCATTATCATCATTTTGCCAAGACGAGGCTCAATGGGGAGTTTAGCCAGGATTCGTCCCAGAGGAGTCAACTCATCATTGGTATCTAATGCATCAAGCTCTGTGGAGAGAGATTTCTTTGTGAGCAGAAACAGTAACGAACACCCCTTTAACCTAGGCAAAGATGAAACATCTGTTTATAGATTAAGGTTCAGATACTGCACTTAAGTTTTCCTCAACTGTCAAGCCAACTGCCAGCACCATGCTCATAGCCAACAATTCTCTTCACTCAAAAACAGAACAAAACCAAATTCTAGAGCACCTAACATGAAGAAGGTACTAGAATTAGGCCCTGTAGGCTGTAAAGCTGAGTACAGTCCATGAGAAGTCTATAAATACAGTAATAATAGCAGCATAAACAGCTACATGCTCTAACAAGTCTGATAGCATCCATTGATAATTGCTAGAAAGAAATGAAATCTGGAGAACAAGTCTGAAGTTCACACAGCAGGTGAGCATGAGATTCCAAATTCAAATTCAGATCCCCCTGGACTCCAACACCCTTATTTTTTTCCACTATACTACACTGCCTCTGTAAGTGTGATAAGAAAATATAAATAGATGTTCTATGAAATGTACATAAAACACTGTGGGTATCATGAATAATTCACGTTCTGATCATTAACCACTGGTTAAGAGATAACGCATGCCTTTTCTCCATTTTTTCCCCCAAATAAGACTCACATCATCCTTTTCTTACCTTATGTTGCTCATTTTATATAGTGACCACACTAAGTACATTAAACAACACTGGAAGCTTTGTTATCACAGCCCTGTGGACTATATCCTCTTCTTGACTCATCTGTTAAGTGTTACTTGCCAGGACAAGACAGATGGTATAATTAGCATGTGTTAGGCAGCTCTGTATTTGTAGGTACCTCTAAGTGTGTGCTCTGCTTCAATCACAGCATCCAAAGGCGGAGGTTCGATTGCCTTGGCCAGGAATTGGCCAATTCCTCCCAGACGCAGAAGTTTTATGCTCAAAGCAATTTCATGCAATGGTGTTCGGAACATCTCCGGGGTCATGTGGGTTTCAAGTCTAAGAGAAAATAAGCATAAAATAACCATCTTCACTTGTGTACACACACGTTTATTTAACAAAAACTTCGCAGAGAGATAATCAGGAATATATAGAGCTGCCCTTCCTTCATCGTTTTACAATTACAAAAGTACATTTTATATTTACTACAAGGACTCTCTGGACAAGACCCTCTTAAGTGGTTGAGTAGTGGCTTCCGACTTTACCCGTATAGCTTGAAGGCATTTTCAGCTGAGTGAAGGAGGATGAAAAATTATCCCAAATCTCTAATGTTATTACCCCCACCCTGGCTTCTTCAGGTCTGGCTGCTGACAAACATGGGTTAAAGTAACTTAATCTCATTTTGTAGAATGCGGAAACATTTACAGCCTAAAAGAGTGTAAATGTTTAAGATTATGTGATACATTAGGCAGAAATAGTATTAAAATCCAAGTCTCTACGTTTCCAATTCAGGCTTATTCTATATAAACTATATATAATGAAGATTCATAAGAACCATTTGGAGGTGAATTCCAACACTGCTGGTAAGACCTAGATCAGCTTTAATCAGGTTTACATAGATGCATATAGCTTATCTATTCCTCATCCTACAGAGAAAAGAACAAAAATCCCTTACAGATCTATTCATGCTGTTAACTAATTAGGAGCTGGTTTTACTCTAATATTAGAGTATAGTACTTGTTTATTCAGGTCAAGGGACAAGCCAACCTTTAAAAAGAACTAAGTGTCTTCCAAATGTTGCAGCCAGTCTCCTGCATCAACTTCTGATGCTCAAATAAACCAACATTTGTAATTACTAGGGAGCCATATGTTACCAGTATAAAAGCAAATCAAAGCTTTGACCTTTCTTCAGTGTGCTATATACATCTGGTCACCTAAATTAGTCTGTCCCACAATTCTTCATTGCGGTACACACAAAAACACACCTCCTAACTCTACCTTTATTATCAACTGGTTAAAGCTAATGTACACCACACTGATTTCCAGAAACATACAACTAAATATATAACTTAAGCCTGTAATTCAGAGAGAGAAGTATTTTTGAAATTGGGGGGTGAGGTGGGAGGCAAGGAATAACGACTTTATTTGGAAAGCTAGCAAACTGAGAAGATAGTGAGCTCGCACCCCAGAGAATTATTTTTTAAACCAATTGGTCTCATCCACAAACACTGTCCAAAAGGATCTGTGGTATAAACGGAAACGGACAAGGTATTAACAGACTTGGATTTCAGTCCTGGAGAAGTCAGCTAAGCTTCTTAAGCTTTGGCTTCCTTACCTAAATAATGCCCTCTGTTTCTCAGGCACCTTATAAGGAGGATCATATGACAGAGGTGATGTGCTAATGGGGGGGAGGGGGAAGGGGAGGGTGTCTATAAATACAAGAGTATTGTTATTTTAAAGTTATTTTTCAGAAAAGTTAACCATTCCATAAATATCAGTAATCCCAAAGTGATAAAAGATGTGTGGTATGGAAAACATATGTTATGCTTTTAAAAGGTTATTAGTAAATAGTAAATCGGTATCAAACATGCCACCATTGATAATTTCTGATTTCATCCTTACCACAATCTCACTACCTAAGCTTGGTTTCCTCCAATTAACTGGAAGCATTTATGTTCTGAGTTCATTAAGTTTATGTCAGGGCAGAGAGGTGTGGGGAGGGGTGTGTGTGTAAAAGGCTAAAAAAAAAAAAAAACCCCAAAAACCAACTTCATTCTTTACTCAAGAATTGGTCTTACCTCTCAAAACGAGCTCGGCTACAGAGGTGAAAGCAGAATCCAGGCCGTACACGGCCAGCTCGTCCTTTCCGCTGCTCGAGGTTTGTTTTGGATGCCCAAACTGTAGCATAATTGGTCATATTGTTGTGAGCAGTGAACAGCTTCACTTTTTGCCTAAATAGGAAAGAGCAGTTAATTCTAAAACTCACGTGTACTATCAATACATAACTATTACATTTTCACTAAGTGGCAGACGCTTTCCAGTCATGCCTACTTGCGATGTCTGTTTGTGAACAGCACCGATAAGAATTTGACTCTGCACTCTTTTAGGTTGCCAACCTGCTAGGAGGCAATATAATATACGTGTGCCACTTACCAGCTGGATGATCTTGGCCAAGTTACTAATCTTTCTGTGCCTCATCTGAAAATGAGTATAATACTATCACCTACCTTGCAGTGTTTTTATTTATGAACATTATGTGAATTAATGAACATATAGCATTTAAACAGGATCTGGCACGTGCAGGTAAGTGAGTGGTAATTATTCAAAGCCAACTCTATCCCGAAGTTTAGTTTAATTTTTAGGCAATCTATGATCTAAAGGCTATGTGCTAAACTGGAACATGTGGCACTTCTGATGACCTCACCAAGTGGTGTTGGCATGGTCCTCTTGAACCCCTAAGCAACCTCAGAATCTGTCAATGTTATACATAGGCAGCTGGCACTAAATGACTGGGATTGGCACAAAAGAGGGGCATGCTATTCACCATTCCCTAAAGTGGGCATTGGCAAATCTTCAATTGCCAGGAAAGGCTTAGGGACTACAGACAGAAGACATGAGGCACAAACTGGCTAGACAGAACAAAGTTTCGACGTTTTTGTCCTCTCCCTGTATCAATTAGCATGTAATTACTTTACCTATACACAATGCCTCCCTGTGTATTTCCCAGGGCATCTCATACCAAATATGCAGTCTTAATTCTTAAGTAGTGTCCTACAAATAGGACACTTGTCATGAGCTAAATATTGGACATCTTTATACACCAAAGAGCATGCCATTGTGTGGCAGTGGTCAATGGAAACAGCCAATGGGAAATGAGCAAAACACCAGCAGACAAGAATAAGTGGGAAGCAGTCAGAAGTTAGTGTTAAGCTTCGTCACTTTCTACCATAACTGATATGATGATCAACACCAAGAATCATTAATTACACTATAACTCAGTACATACAGATGCAGCACAGTAATTCTGATGGTAAGAGAACACAACAGTTTTAAAAATAAGGTGTTTTTGATTCTGTTAACTGATTCTAGACACTACATGGAGTATTCTAAAGATTTACTGTATTCAAGGCAATGGGTTCCTTGGGAACTTACTTGCAGGAGTCAATGACATAAACAACATCATTTATGGTAATGCTTGTCTCAGCAATATTTGTGGACAAAATAACCTGTGAAGAAAGAAATGGTATTAAGAAAAATTACACTTCAGAAAATATTTTCCTATTATGTACTTAAAAGGAATGGTCTGCTTATGTAACAAATGACAACAGAATTACAGAAATCTTTAAATAAATCACTCATTCATTGACTGGATAACTGAAAAACCTACTAAGCTCATGAAGAAAGGACCCCCTTTTTCTTCCTCAATTCAGATGGATTACAATTTTTTTGGATAGCTCTTTGAAGGTCTGTAATAGTTGTCTAATATCTACGTTACTTCCAACCCTGTAACTGTAATGTTTACTACTTACCTTGGTTACTCCACCTGGTACTGGATCAAATACTTTGCGCTGTTCCTCTCGAGGAATCTGAGAATGCAGAGGTAGAATCTGATACCTATGGCTTCCTATAAAAATATGGAAAAGTTAAGGTCTAAAAATAGGAGCCGAGTTTAAAACTTCTACATTATGCATGTTTTTAATCAAAAATCGATACAACACTAAATTTTGTTTTCACATATTGGCTAGGGTGCAAGCAAAATCATTCATTTTTCACTCAAATAGTTGAGTTTTCGAAGAAGACTCATACCAAAATGTGGATTCATTTCCAAATGCTTCTGCATAGTATAAATCAAATTCCAGCCAGGCAGAAAAACCAACACAGCTCCAGGAACGTTGAGGGTCTCGATGTACTTAAGTAGAGCCTCGATGAGTTCAAAAGGAGTTTCTTTCTCATTCAGTTGAGCCATGCTCATCTTTGTTTCTGGACCATATTCATCACCACAGATCAGGTTGCAATTTGCCTGCAAAAACCAGGGAGACATATTTTGGACTGTCTCCATTAGTACAGCTCATGAGTTAAGTCTCCTACATTTTACTTAATGTTCACATGACACCTAATGTCCTTATTGATTCTAGCTGATTAGTCTTATCTGGCATATAGAAGAAATTTAATTTTCAAAAACCACTGCACGTTGACATACTGAATTTTTCTACTGACCAATACTTCCCATAGGACGTGACTAAAATTCAAGCACAAGCTCTTAAATTTGACTCTAAAACTTCTAATGGCTCCTTCTACCAAGCTTATTTCTCTTATGACTATAAACTCTTGGTTTTTCAAAAATATTTTCCTTACTGATTAATAAACTGCTCCTATGATCCTCTCTTTGTATCAATTATCATGTAATTATATATACACAATGTCTTCCTGTGTAATTCCCAGGCTCACTCATACCGGTAGACAGGGTATTTGATTACCTCATCTACATCTGAAATAATGTGGTCTGTATTTTCCAAAAAGTCTGCCTGAGAACCAATGATAAACCAAACCTTCAGTAATGAGAAATGAAGTTGTTACAATTGATTCCCACCCCCCCAAGAAACTTTCTAATTCATCAGATTTGAGGATATAATTCTTAATATAATTCATTTATATCCTCAAATCTGATTAAAAGTACCCAATCCTAGGTTATGTTTATCATATTCTGCATTGCTGGCTGCCTTATGGCATTCGTTTTGTTCATGTTTCCAGATTCAAGATGCATTTTTAAATATCACTGATCCAACTCTGAAACACTACGAAATAAGTGTCACTTTTCTTTCCTGTTTCTTAGGAAATCCCTCATCATCCCCCACTTTAATACTCTCTCCATCTGCGAATGTCATTACCATACAGTCTCTGTAACCTAGGACTGTAGCTGCTGTTGCTTAAACTTTACTGTACATATGGGTCACCTGAAGGTCTTGTTAAAGTGTGGATTCTGATTTAGGAGATCTGGGGTGGGGCACAAAATTCCACCTCTCTTCCAGTTTCCCAGGTGCTGTGGCTCATGGAAAACACTCTGAGCAGCAAAGCCTTACAAAATGGGAGTTATTAAATATCTTACTCCTTTCTCTTTTTTTAACCTTTATGCCAGAGATGATTTAACTCATGGTATGAAAAGCTCTTTTCACTGAACATGGAATTCTTTGGAGTGAAATATATCAATTCATTCAAAGATAGACATTACAGTCAATTTTTAGAAGTTTTTTGTAACGCTAACTCATTGCATGTTTTTGCTAAAATCATTCCCTGCAATAACAATTTTGCCCACAATGAAAATTCTTCATGAAATTCACTTACATCATCATCGTCACCACTATCATCATCCTTATCCTTCTTCTTCTTGTCCTTTGGTGGAGGAATGAAGTGGGTCATCTGAATACAGTCTTCCAAAAAATATTCTGCCAGGACAATCCAGTCAGGTAAGTACTATGAACTTGCAGAACGAAGCAGTCTTTAAAACTCATTTTCTAATTCATAATTCAAAACTACCTTCATACCCTTCAATCTGATTCTTCACAACTGCCAAGAAACTTCAGTGTCAATAAACTCAGTGTTTCCATCTCTTGGACCTTGGAGGAGGGTGAGGTATCTCTCATACATGTTCCCACAAAGCCAGTCAGGGTATCCGCTATATACAACATTCAATCAAACATTCATGGAATGCATATTGTGCTCTATGTTGTATACTCCCACAGTGTGGGTGTTATATATGGAGAGAAATTACTATCAATACAATAATATACCATAGTCCATCCTTCCTCTATCAGGATGTACAGATAAAAATGGGTTCCTTTTCGTTATTACTCTTAAAAAAGGACTTCAATGCGAAGGTTGGAACATCTACTGATCAATTATGCTCCTGAGGTTCTTTGAAGTGTTCCAGAAGTATCTCATAATCGAAACACTTCCCCTCTATACCCTTAGAGCCCCAAAGTACCATTCTCATCTCATTATATCAAAGGTACACACTATCAACATGACTCATCACTGATGATATTAAACTTGATCAACCTGAGGTAGTGTTTGCCAAGTTAACTCCATCGTTAAGTGACTCGTTTCCCCCTTTCCATACTCTATTCTTTGGAAGCAAGTCATTAAGCACAGCACACACTAAAGGAGTTAAGCATCACTTTTCTGAGGTAAGAGAGAGTATCTACGGAATTTTTTTCTAGTTCTTCCATATGACAGCTTTGTCTTTATTACCCACTTATTTATTCAACCACCATATAAATTCATGGGCATCTATTCTATACTTTAGGTTATAATCCAATACTACATTTTCTACTTTTTTGTTCCAACTATTCCATTTTTGGGCACTGAGAGCTTTCATGTTGACTCCTATGTCCCTTTGTCCCCTTCACTGTTTTTTAATTTTTTTAAAGCACTTCCTTACTTTCTGTCACTATAAGATGTTTCAGGCTCATCTTGTATATTCCCTGCCTCAGCTTCAGAATCAGTCATTTCTTCAAGGGCATCTGGTTCCTTTAACTGGAGAATGGTATTGGAAACATGATCTGGGTGTTGGGCAAGATCCTTGCTACTGGGATGTCATTACTTCTAGGCCCGCTCAGCAGACAGAGATAGGAAATATATCTATGTATGCTAATCCATGGATCCATACACATGTATATTTAGTTTTGTATCTATCCATTTCTATCTAAACACGAGTTCTTACTAATGTCTCCAATTGTAATCCAGTACCACAGGGTTCATTCAAGCCTTCCCTCATACTTGCCTGTAACCTCCCACTCCAGCAGTAAACCTGGTTCCCACCAACTGTCATCCATTTAATTATTTTTTCAATGCCAGTATGCATGCAAAGCAGTTGCAGGATTATTAACCTGTACCCTCGTGAGATATGAGCACACTGACTTTTATTTCAGAGCTACCCTCACCTTCTGAATTTCAAGTTAGCATCCTGACGTAGCCATTCATCATTTCATACGTACACTGAAAATTTTTTAGCTTATTTTCATGCCCTCAATTAAACTGTGCTGTAATTAATTTTTAAAACCAAGCTACTAGATGACTATTCTAGAAAATGGTGATGACAAAATCTTCTAAATAAACTCTTAATAATCAGATATTTGACCTTGAAACTCTCATCTTTTGTGTGTGTGTGTTACGTGGGCCTCTCAGTGTTGTGGCCTCTCCCGCTGTGGAGCACAGGCTCCGGACGCACAGGCTCAGCGGCCACGGCTCACGGGCCCAGCCGCTCTGCGGCATTTGGGATCTTCCCGGACCGGGGCACGAACCCATGTCCCCTGCATCGGCAGGCGGACTCTCAACCACTGTGCCACCAGCGAAGCCCGAAACTCTCATCTTAATCTCACTTCAAATCTGCCTGCTCTGGCTCTAAGAAAGATTGATTCTCTAGTTAATTTGACCCTGGCTGCTTAAACTTTTAACAGTTATTTCCCAAGAACATCTATAGGCATATTAATTTACACTTGACTATAAAATCTTACAAGTTAACTTTAGCTGTAAGGACAGGAAATTCACTGGATATGCAAACTCAAGTTGTAAATGAAACTCACTACTGCTTGACTAAAACCCCAAGAACGCTATGATGCATCTGATACCCTCATTTGGATTTTATTTTAAATATCCTTTAAACTATTACTCCAATCTCTAGGATTAAGAAAATCCACACACTACAAAAAATGTTCACCCTCCCATCCCACCCCCACGATATTTACCTTGAACTGGGTAAGTCCTCCCATAAACTTCAATGATTGGGCAACTGAAGAAATATTCACAGAACATGCTCGTATCAATAGTAGCAGACATGAGAACAATGCGAACTTCAGGATATGCCTGAACAACATCACGCAACACTACCAAAAGGAAGTCAGTCTATTAAAACACAAACACAAATGGAAAAATAAATGCACTGAAAAGTCCTTGCTCACAAGGTACAGCTAAAAGATTTCTTGTGTTAATAAGCCACAAGATATCAGTGAAATTCAGTTTCTTGGGCGGCTTATAGAAGTAAGATGAAGGATTACAGTGGGATACGGTAACTGTTTTTAACAACAGTTGTAGCCTACTCGTGGAAATTAGAAATGAGCACTACTAGGGTAGGGGAAGGGAAGGGAAGAGAAAAAAAAAACATTAACGAGAGGAAATTTTCAGTGAAATTTATATTTTCAGTTGCACAAACTACTAGAGAAAAGGCGAAAGCCATGATGAGCCAAAAATCAGTTTTCCAATCACCTGTAAAGTGAATCTTACAAATGCTGAAAAGGCTATATTTAGTCCATTCAAACAAAATGGTCGAGACATTTATTATTTAATAATGTAAAGTTTCCATCAACCCACCAAACAACATGAAAGCTAGAACTCTGATAAAACCTTTCTCCAGCTATGGGGTCTTCAAGTCCATCACTCTGCCTCCCCAAATAGAGAAATCCACCATCCTGAATCTTTTTAGTCCTTTTCATATACCCTTCCTCTGATCTATATGCATATCTAACTAGACATACATACATATATATGCATGCATACATATATTTTAAGATTTACCTATTCTATTCTTTTTTTTTTTTTTGCGGTACGCGGGCCTCTCACTGTTGTGGCCTCTCCTGTTGTGGAGCACAGGCTCCGGATGCGCAGGCTCAGCGGCCATGGCTCACGGGTGCAGCCGCTCTGCGGCATGCGGGATCTTCCCGGACCGGGGCACAAACCCACGTCCCCTGCATCGGCAGGCGGACTCCCAACCACTGCGCCACCAGGGAAGCCCTGATTTACCTATTCTTAACTTTATGAGAAGGTATGATATATTTTTTTTTTTTTTTCTTCTTGCGTTATGCGGGCCTCTCACTGTTGTGGCCTCTCCCATTTGCGGAGCACAGGCTCCGGACGCGCAGGCTCAGTGGCCATGGCTCACGGGCCCAGCCGCTCCGCGGCATGTGGGATCTTCCCGAAACGGGGCACGAACCCGCGTCTCCTGCATCGGCAGGCGGACTCTCAAGCACTGCGCCACCAGGGAAGCCCGAGAAGGTATGATATTTTATGTAATCTTTGGGGATTTCCTTTTTCACATCCTATAGCACTGCTAAGACTCACCCATGTGTGAATCACCAGAGTTATTCTTTCTGATGACTATTTAAATATCCCAATGTGTGTATGTACCCATTAATTCGATTTCTGGTGGTAACTACTGCAGGTATCTGGGTTGTTTCCGGGATTTTACTATTACGAACATTTGCTACTCTGAACATCCTAGTTCATGTCTCCTATGGTACATATGCCAAGTTTCTGTGGGTAAGTGTAGGTATGGAACTGCACTCAGGATGTGTAAATGTTGAACTTTTGCAGATAATGCTCAACTACTTTCCTTAGGCATTCCACCAGTTCATAAACCACTATGACCAATGGATAAGAGATCCTGCTGATATTTATATTCTCCAATACTCGGCATCATCACTTAAAATTTTATTAACCAAATGGATATAAAGTAGATGTACCTTATTATGGTCTTGGTGTGCACTTTCCTATTCGCCAATGAAACTGAACACCCCATCATATGTACTAGCCAAATATCATTCCTCTTTGTAAAATGCCTATTTCCTTGTTTTTCTACTGAGTCATCTGTACTTTGCTTACTGATTTGTAGGAGGTGTTTATATTTTCTATACTAATCCTTTGTTGGCTATATTGGAATCTTCTAGCTTGTGGTTTTCCTTAAAGTATCTTTTGAATGAATACACGATCTTAATCTTAATATAGATGAATACCTCAGTCTTTTGTTTCATGGTTAATGCATTTCATGTTCTAAGAAATTCTTCCAGAAGGTATAGAACTATGTTGCCCAATATAGTTGTGGCTACTGAGCACATAAAATGTGCCTGGTCTAAACTGAGATGTGTCCTAAGTGTAAAATACACAGACAGATTTTGAAGACTTAATATGAAAAAAACCCGCAAAAAAAAATCAATATATTTTTTATATTGACTACATGATGAAAATATTTTAGATATACTGAGTTAATTTTACCTGTTTTTTTTTCACCTTTTAAAATATGATGCTAGAAAATTAAAAACTGCATGTGTAGGCCACATTATATTTCTACTGGATAGTGCTGTCTAGATGTCTGCTTATATATTCTACTCCAGAGTTTTAAAACTGCTTTGGCATTTAAGTCCTTATCCATCTGGAGCTGATTTCTGTATCTGGTTATAAGGTAAGGATCCAAGTTCAAGTATTTCCTTATGGATGACCAACTGTTTCCAGCTCCATTTACTGAACAGTCCATTCCCTTTCCACTGATCTGACATGCCACCTATCACTCACTCTATTATACCGAAGCTGCATGCAACACACAATCTGTTTCTACACTCTGTATTGTTGTTGGTCAAACTGTCATCTCATCTACTATACTGTCTAATTATTATAGGTTCAAATTAAGTCCTGAGATCTGTAAAGCAAGACCCTTCATTCTGCTCTTCTACATGAGTCCTTGTCATTTCTGGCCATAAATCTTCCCTATAGGTATTTATAATCAGCCTATTAACAAAACCTACTGGGAATGGATTAGAATTGCATTCAGATGTGGATCAACTTCAGGCAAACTGACATTTATATTATATTAGCCGTGAACACAATCTGGTCTTTTATAGTGTTTTGTAATAAAGTTTTATTTTTCCTGTATAGGTTCTGCATATCTTTTTGTTGGACTTAGTCTTAGGTGTTTGACATTCTGACTAGTGCAGTGGTATCTTGTTTTCTAGCTGTTTGTAATGTACACAAATGCAACAGACTTTTGTATATTAACTTTTTTTTCCCAGCCATATTGCTAAGTGTTTCTGTTCTTTTTGGCCAGGCGGCATGTGGGATCCTTATTCCCCGACCAGGGATTGAACCCGTGCCCCCTACAGTGGAAGTGCAGAGTCCCAACCACTGGACCGCCGGGGAAGTCCTCTATTATTTCTAATAATTGGTCTTTTAAGTTCTCTTGGGTTTTCCCCGTAAAGTGACGTTTAGATAAGGTTCATCTGAAAGAGAATATATGTTTCTGCAAAGGTGTTTTTCCATTTTTACTGTGAATAATACATTAATACCGACAATCTTTCAAGAAAAGTTGACCAAAGCCACTTATTTGGGGGGAAAATAGTAATGATGATCCATGATGTTTCTAGTGTGACCTGGAATAATTTAAACTCTAAGAACATTGGTATGTTACCATGCTAGTAAAGAAAATACTGAAACATTTATTATGATTAAGTTAATTGGGGGGAGGGGAAACATTAGTTTTCAAAAGATTCTGAACGACAAAAGCAGCAAAAATTTTATCCTACGGAATAAATTTGATTTAAAAAGGTCATCTGAAAGACCATGCAAACTTTCTTACTTGCTTTAGCTCAACCATAAAGATCAAAATTTTGCTAAAACTAAGTATGATGAACAACAACGGCTATGGAATGATTTTCTAAAGAGGATGAGCTCCAATGAATGTTTTAAGTAACAGTAGCTTGGAAATAGTTTGAATGACATACTGTCCACCCACTAATACCTCTGTGTGGATATGTAAAATGTGCCATAAAAACAAGTCACTGATTTATGGTATCAATCTCTGAATTATACAATTGTATAAGTTAATTCTATACAAGTTTTTCCAAGGACCAAAAGAGGATAGGGTGTGAAAAAAATTCTAGCTTTTTCTTAATTCTGGCATGATTATCATTAACGTTGGAAAAGACTAAAGCTGCAAACATCCAAAAACACACCATTAACTATATTAAATTTAAAATTGTGGAAATTCCCTGGCTGTACAGTGGTTTGGACTCGGCGCTTTCAGTGCCATGGGCCCGGGTTTGATCCCTGGTCAGGGAACTAAGATCCCACAAGCCAGGCGGCGGGAGGAAAACAATGTAAAGTTTATCACAGATAAATTTTCAATTCAAAGAAAAACTGATTATTAAAATTCCATCAGCTATTCAGTGATAAATCATTAGTTTACTTGCTGAATTATGCTAACTTAATGATCACTGCAATAATACTTACTTTACAATAAGAGGTCTTTACTTTTAGAACTCTGTGCTTTAACAAAGGGAAAAAAAAGGGTTTAACGGCTTTGCTAAAAAAGGTGTCCAATATCTTAGTGACTTAAGTTCCTAATTTTGATAGAAGTTGTAAGCTATGGGAAAATGGAAATAAAATAAAGACATTCTACTTCATTTCTCTTTCTTCAGAATTTTAGCACTGGTACCTTACCATCACTCTCAAGTTACTTACATTTATGTCTCTTTCATGTATTTCATCTACAATTACATGACTGATTCCTCGAATGCCTGCTTCTAATTTTCTTAGGAGTACACCTTGAAAAGAAAATCAGAGTAAACACTGGAGATGAGTTTCTATGTTAAAGTAGGGAGGTAAGGAAAAGTGCAAAGAAACCAGTTTCTAGACAATCAACTATGCTTCAACTACTATAACCCCAGCGTTTTAGGAAAGAAATAATCATTGGTATATTTAAATTATTAAAGAAGTGATCATGCAATCTGTAACACATTTGTCTAATGAAAACATATTTAACAGTTCCAGCAACCTAAGCTGATTTCATTTGCTCTGCACTACAACAGCCAGCAGGTACATAACACCCTCCATGAAGAGAAAAACTGCCCAAAGTTCTATTTAAACAAGAATTCTGAAACTGGGCTCTTGATTTATTATTTCCAGTCATTCTGTGCTATTATCAAGTTTTCTTCACAAACACAATGTAAACCCCAAGTGAAAGGCCAAAATAAAACAGATTACTGACCCACAGTACAAAACATTATACTGGCATGAGGGCGGGGAAGTATAGACTCAAATCGAACACTATAGCCACAACTTTTTCCAGGCTCTTCTCCTCTCTCATATGCAACTCGCTCTGCCACAGAAACTGCACTGATTCTCCTGGGCTGAGACAAAAAAAAAAAAAAGTGATTTAAAAGATACAAAATTAGTTACACTTGTTTATTAGGGTTATTAAATCACTGTAGTAAATGTGACCCACTGCCAGCTCAGTAATCAACAGCAACAATAACAGTAGTGATAACATTTAGGAAGCTCCAAAGTTTATTAAAAAAACAAAAAAAATTACCACTCAATTCTACTGTAGACAGTTAAAAATGCTGTTTCTCATTTTGTATATAAAGTGATTCCAAGGTTTTATAGAAAATAAAATTTCTTCACCATTGGCCCTAACTCTTAAACGGTATCAAGTGATTTTCCAGTAGGGAAGCAGGCAGATCACACGTGGAGAGCTTGTTCTTATAACTTCCTACCACAATGCAGGCACACTGCACTGTGTTTAAAGAACTATTTAACTGAGATGTACGGGTTATTAAGAAGGTGAACAACCTCCTTTGCCATATCTACGATTCATTCACTTATTAACTCATAAAGCAGTCATAGCTTATCTGTATTGATATCACGTGCCACAAAAGGTGCTAGAGATAAAAAAAACAAAAAAACACCTCAATGAAATCACTCCTGGTTTTGATGAGCTTATGTAGCTGGGAAAACTGAGTGTATATTACCTTTTCCAGCAATATACATGCTGTTAGCAATAAATATGCTGAACCCTAAAGACAATTATGGGTTAAAATTTTAAGTGTTGGACCTTAACTTTTATGAAAACTTCCAAAGTGTCCCCTGTCTTCTAAGTACACAAAACAGCATTTACTTGGTGGAGACCATGGCTACTATGATATCCTGAATGTATAGCTATGGAGGTACATGCAGATTTAGACTAAATGCTTCCAGGTTGCCTTGTATTTGACTTTGTCAAAAAGTTCCTGATGATAGACTGTATTTTAGTTCCTAGACTGAGAGAGTTTTTTCCGAGTTCCATATTTAGTTAAGTACCTATGTGATTATACCCCAGGTTATATGACATGACCATTTAGGAAATCAGAGGCTAATACAATCTTAAAAAACAAAAACCAACCAAACCAAAAAAACCCCCAAACCAAAAGCCAGTAGCTTCACTAGGACTATCAACATCCTTTTTTTTTTTTTGCGGTACGTGGGCCTCTCAGTGTTGTGGCCTCTCCCGCTGTGGAACACAGGCTCCGGACGCACAGGCTCCGGACGCGCAGGCTCAGCGGCCATGGCTCGCGGGCCCAGCCGCTCCGCGGCATGTGGGATCTTCCCAGACTGGGGCACGAACCCGTGTCCCCTGCATCGGCAGGCGGACTCTCAACCACTGCGCCACCAGGGAAGCCCTCGACATCTTTTGAATTAATATAAAACACGATATATTAATTTCTATATCCCCTAACACAAGAGTCCCTTATGGTATGTGGCTAGTAACACATACAGGTAAAGTGTACAATCACCTAGTTCATATTTATCCTGTCCAGCAAGGTAGGGATTAAAAGATGCCATTTTGAATATACTGTACATTTTCCTGAGCTTATATTCTTTCTGGTTTATGTGCCTTGTTTCGCTGAACAATGCTAGCTTTTAATGACCATTGCCGACCAGTTCTCTGCACCTCACTAACTCTGAATAAAAGTGCTACATGAAGGACTGAGTTATGCATTTGTCCATAAAGAGAAGCATTCTGCTATATACTTATGTCAGGGAACGTGAAGATGATATTCCACTAAAGGTATAAAATACAAAATTTTTTGGGCATTTTCAAGAAGTTCTTTGTATTCTACAAAGAATAGGTAAATGCTCAACACCATTATCGCTTTTCTCTCCTTTTGTCTTTCCTACAGTTTTCAACATTTCTATTAAATAGCTGGCTTCTAGAAAAACTTCAACTCAGTTAGGATATTGGACTCTTCTGAGGTGTATTTCTATGCTACTGGATACTCAAGGATTGCTTTTACCAGCTTGAGGCTGCTTTCAGGTCAATCACCTTTGTAGTTTCCAGCCTTATAAAGTGAATATGGGTACAGCCCTCACCTCCCAAGACATCCACGACAGAGGCTGTTACAAATTAACATAAGAAGTGCTAAAACAACCATCTTCAGAAGCCCTACTGGCCAAATTTCCTTGAGTAAAAGCAGAAAACATCAATATCAAGACGACTCTTCAAACAGCAAAGAAACAAATGACCCTACAATCTCCTTTCCATGTTTTGTATGCTTCTCTGACTTATCGCCTTCCAATTTCAACAGCCCTGACTTCAAAGTAAACATTTAAAATACATATTAAAAAGAGAAGTGCTTCTTTTATTCATAACTGATCCAACTGGAAATCAGTATGATTCTTCCTGAGGGGAGTATGGCAAAATGCATAAAACTTAAAACATGCATACCCTTTGACCCAACAATTCCAGGTCTAGGAATTTATTCCAATGAAATAATCCAGAGAGTATAAAATGTATGTACAAGTATATTCATCCCAGCATACATAAATACCAAAATATTAGAAACAATCTTCAAGTATCTCCATCATTTAAGAATAAAATAAACGTATATGCATAAAATGGAAAATTATGAAGTCGTTAGAAAATTATTCTGTTGCTTTAATAGCAGGTGTGCTGTTACATAAAGGGGACAAGTTAGGATGGTGTACATACAGTATATGTACATGAAGTCTGAAAGGATAAAGGCCAAAAGTAAAAATGATTACTTCTGGATGGTGGGATTCTGCGTGGGCTTTGGTTTCTTTTAAAATTTATTTTCTAATTTTTTTCCCAATGGGTATATAATACTTTTAGAGTCAGAAAAAAGCCACTAAAAATAAAATCTTATTCTCGGTATAATTCTTAGCTCATTATAAATATCCACAGGATAGGCATTTTGTGTGGGAGAACAATGCTTAATGTAAAAGACTATTAATGTTTAAACACTTCTCAGACTGCATGCTACCTGATAACCTATAAATAAGTTGCTCTATTTATCCCCTGAATAATTTCTCTTTTCCCTTGGATATTCAATAACTGTTTTACATACTGCCCTACAATGAATAAATACAAAGCAAGGTTCACCTTCTTTCTAAACCCGCAGAACTACCTTTCCACATATGGTTTAACTTATCCTCTCTTAAATATCCTATAGTGTATAGAAATATTCTATATTCTATAATATAAAGATTCAAGACTAGAGAGACCCCCCAGAACAATCATAATTAACATCTGTGTAACAAAAGTAAAAACCATGACTGCATGTACTATTTTATTTGTCCTTCAGAATAACAGTGAGATTTTTTTCCCATTCTAATAGATAAAAACACAAGTTCACAGGTAAAGGTATTTTGCCTAAATTCATATACATGACTTTAGATGTAATACAAATTTTCTTTACTCCCAACTAAGCCTTTTCCCAATTATTCTGCCTCTTGTTATAATTTTATGTTGTATTTGGATTAAATAACAGAATAATCCATTTAAGTGAGACTAGTTAAAAAGTAGTGGTGATGAAAGCAAGGGATAATGTTAACTCATTCCAACAGAATACTTCAAATTATCCTCCAGCATATGAGCTTTTCTTTACATTTTCACTGTGTATTTATCTGCTCTCATTTGCTCTGTACAATCTTATTACTCTTGCCTGGAGACCAGCCATAGCAGTAGTTAGTTCTAAGTGATTACCTCTTCTTCACAATTCTACGTTCACTTTAATTAATTAAAACAGCTAATATTACCGGTAAAACTTTCCATACCACAAGCAGCTAAAGACCTGTCTCAAAGTGTTTTTTTGCAGTATTCAAAATCTGCATCCTTTATACCCCTCTTGATTTATCCAGAACTGTAATTTCTCTTCTTAGCGATCTGTAACTGAAAGAGTACAGCTTTCAGAACTTTGCACCCCTATTTCTCATCTGGGTATTTAAATACATGTAATAGATCTAGGCTGCAATAAAATACAAGATTTCTAAGGCATCAGATATCACAAAACATACCAGACTCCACTTTCTCTATTTTCTAAGTTCTGAGTTTATTTTACATGACAGCTGTATCCTGAAATGATGGTACCTTGGGGTACGTGCAGAATTGCCAAAATATTCACAGATGTTAATCTAACATACTTGATTTGCATCCTAGCAATTTTTTTTTTTTTTTTTTTTGCGGTGCGTGGGCCTCTCACTGTTATGGCCTCTCCCGTTGCGGAGCACAGGCTCTGGACGCACAGGCTCCAGACGTGCGCAGGCTCAGCGGACATGGCTCACGGGCCCAGCCGCTCCACGGCATGTGGGATTCTCCCAGACCGGGGCACGAACGCATGTCCCCTGCATCGGCAGGCGGACTCTCAACCACTGCTCCACCAGGGAAGCCCAACATCCTAGCAATTTTAATTCACCTCTCTCAACATCTTTAAGGTCAGAAAATAACTATTTCCTATTTTCAATTGTTGCACACTCACACCTTAAGTTTTAAGTGGCTTGAGTATGAATAGCCTGAAGGCACAAAAAGGATACAGTGAGTTTGGTATAGAATTTACACTAAAGCTGGTGGTAAGGTTACGAGTTAAAGTTTGAGTTACTCATTCTATTTTATTCTAGTTCATAATATCTCTCAACTTGTGCTCTATGACCTGAAATAACACATTTAACCAAGCACATAAAAAACTTAGGTAATGACTTCATGTGGTTTCCTATATATGACTGCAAGTGGAGGAAAAAGGAAAAATGAGGGCTTCCCTGGTGGTGTAGTGGTTAAGAATCTGCCTGCCAATGCAGGGGACGTGGGTTCGAGCTCTGGTCCAGGAAGATCCCACATGCTGCGGAGCAACTAAGCCTGTGTGCCACAACTACTGAGCCTGTACTCTAGAGCCCGCGGGCCACAACGACTAACTCCGTGTGCCACAACTACTGAAGCCCGCGCACCTAGAGCCCACACTCCACAACAAGAAAAGACACCACAATAAGAAGCCCGCACACTGCAATGAAGAGTAGCCCCTGCTCGCTGCAACTAGAGAAAACCCACACAGGCAGCAACGAAGACCCAACGCAGCCATAAATGAATGAATGAATGAATGAATGAATGAATCGAAAGATGATACAACAGTGATATTACTACAAAAATTATTAATGCTGTCTCAGACTGCCTTAACAGAAGTACTATATAATACCACAATTATTAAGAACTGTATTCTACAACGAACAATCAGTATGTTCAGGCCTACCTTCTCAGGTAGGATGCTGATGCTTCGAATGTGCTTAACAACCTTAGACTCTATCTTCATGGCTGTATAGTTGTTTATAAAACAAAGGAGATATACTAGGACACTATACAAACTTTTGAAGACTTATTATAGGTACGAGAAATCAGAGACTGATTTGGGGACAAGCACTAGGACAAAAACATGAAAGCCACAGAATGTCGATTTCATATGACAGGTCAATCATTTGTCCAAAATCAGAAGACACAGGCTACATCTCCACACAACTGGAAATTTTCAAGCAGAAGTAAGGTGACCATCTATTATAAACATTCCACCCTGAGTAGAAAGATGGAATAATTCTGTGAAGTATCTTTCAGTTTCATAAACCTATCACTTTATGAAGCAATATAAATAAAGAACTAGCGGATAAGTGAAAGCTGTTTTATGTGCAAATGAAGTACGTTTGTTACAGCCTACATATAGAAATCTGTTCATTTTACAGATGAAACCACCAGAAACGTCCAAATTATTTGGGAAGGGACACAAGTTAGTAAGCAAATTATACAAAGTTGAAGACCACAGTACAAAAACTATTTTTGTCTGGAACAAACAGAAGTCATTTTTGTCTGAACAATTTGGATTTGATAAGTCAGACAGCAGGCGAAAAAAAAATCACTTCTCACTTGGGCGGAAGTTAGTTTTTTTCATACTCATGACATGCAAACAACTTCTGAGTGAGACCATAGGTGTTCAGCTCATTTGGTGAATTCAGCATTTCTGTCTATATGGCTGAACTGTTTTGAACTTAAAAATGGAGAGTGGTAGTAAGGAAGGAGGGCAGAACAGAGCTCAAAGTTCTTTTGTAAAATGGCGTCCTCCTAAACAATACACCTCCTGAAAAATCAGATAAGCATTCAGAGCAAGTATATTTTATTGATGTACTTGAAGTTGGAACTTCTGCTGTGAGGCAAAGAAATCATAACCAGTTTGGGGAGTGAGAAGGGCAATCAAAGAACATTTTGAGAAGAAGAAAGCTAAGGGTCCTATCCCAGAAAAATGGAGACCTATCATATTTTTTTCAAGCTTATAATATCATCCATTTTAAATGCATTCCTTCAGTCATCTTTTAAAGGCCCCGCCAAACCCAACTCTCCTATAAAATACAGAGGCCAATTTTAAGACATACTTCATTTCAGACATGTTAAAAAAATATGGTTTGTACATGTCCACATAAATGCATGTGTACAAACATCTTTTGCTATTTCAAGATTCATGACTCTCCCCTGAGTATCAATTAAGCTTCCCAGGTTAAGAATCCCTAAGTCAAGGTCTGAGCCAGCCTGAGAGGTAGTATCTGGCTACTTGCAATGCTCTTCTTTCAAGTGCCGGAAGTACAGGGTTAGAGCTGACAGGAACTGCTTTAACCTAAGAAGATTGCTCTTCCCTAAGCACTGCAACAAACTTGCAGGCACTGCTTACTGCTAGCAAGGTAACAACAGAATGTAGCAGTCAAAAGGGGGAATACTGAAGGCCAACTGTTTGGTTATGAATCCTAGTTTCAACAACTTCCTGTGTTAACCTTGGACAATTTTAAATTTCTTTGTGCCTTAAGTTACTAAAAGAGAAATATTAAATAATATAGTACTTACATCTTAGCGTCATGAACTTTGAGTTAAAAAAATATATCAACTGTTTAAAACAGAAGCTGGATAGAACTACCATACAAACCAGCAATCCCACTACTGGGCACATACCCTGAGAAAACCATAATTCAAAAAGAGTCATGTACCAAAATGTTCATTGCAGCTCTATTTACAATAGCCAGGACATGGAAGTAACCTAAGTGTCCATCAACATATGAACGGATAAAGATGTGGCACACATATACAATGGAATATTACTCAGCGATAAAAAGAAACGAAATTGAGTTGTTTGCAGTGAGGTGGATGGACCTAGAGTCTGTCATACAGAGTGAAATAAGTCAGAAAGAGAAAAAACAAATACCGTATGCTAACACACATATATATGGAATCTAAGGAAAAAAAAAAAAAGGTCATGAAGATCCTAGGGGTAAGATGGGAATAAAGACACAGACCTACTAGAGCATGGACTTGAGGATATGGGGAGGGGGGAAGGGTAAGCTGTGACAAAGTGAGAGAGAGGCATTGACATATATACACTACCAAATGTAAAACATAGCTAGTGGGAAGCAGCCGCATAGCACAGGGAGATCAGCTCGGTGGTTTGTGACCACCTGGAGGGGTGGGATAGGGAGGGTGGGAGGAAGAGAGACACAAGAGGGAAGAGATATGGGAACATATATATATGTATAACTGATTCACTTTGTTATAAAGCAGAAACTAACACACCATTGTAAAGCAATTATACTCCAATAAAGATGTTAAAACAAACAAATAAACAAAACAGAAGCTGGTGTATAGTAAGCATTCAGCTAAAGCCAACCATTTATCTGTTTTTCTATCTTTTTCTATCTTGTCGACTCTTGCTCTGACCGATTTTTATTGAACATTAAATTTATAAGATAAAGAGAACCAAGGTTTGGATGTAAACGTAAGGAGAAAGTACTCTGTTTTGTTCAGTTCTAGGCCCAAAGACTCCCTCTAGCCCAGACAAAAAGAATTCTTCACACGGTTCAGTTTAGCTTATCCGTGAGTTATCCTGGAGATTAACACAGACTTAAATTCCTTTCACGCCTTTCTTTTTCTTTTTTTAATTTAAAAGGGCCTAACACTCTACCACTTTCAGAATTTTATGTCACTACAAAGGGGAGTTGATCAAAGAATTAGGAATGGTCAGGCTTCTAGGTGTTTCCACCTCTCAAACCCTATCCACACCAGGCACAGACCTCGTAAGCTGGCTTGCTACTTACCTGAGTTACTACAATATTACACTCTGCTGCTCGGTCATTCTGGATAAAGTCATCTAGAATAAACTGGGGAACCTGTGTGGTTTTACCACATCCAGTAGCGCCTCGGATAATAACAACTGGATTTTGACTAATTTCTTCCAGGATTTCACTTTCAAATTTCTTCACAGGCAGTAACTCTCTCTCCTGTAAGATCTGTATTAGAAAAGTTACACCTCAAATTTCTACCAACATATATATTAGAAACAATATCTTAATTCTAAAAAAAAATTGCCATCTCTATAAAAAGTTATTCCTTTCCACTGGCTGCATATTCAAAATATACTTTTTCATAAAAGAATGTATATATTTATATCTCTAGTTGAATGGTCTTTTTCCATTAAATTTCTGAAGAATCTATCTTTTGGCCTTATCCACACCCTTATTTTCCTCCTTTTCTCCCTAGACATTACATATACATTCCCTTTCTTCTAACATTTTAAGTTGCTTCATTCAGAAAATACCAAAAAACTACCACAAAAAAACCCAGTTATTATCCCACATCTTCCACTTTAAGAATCACAGGCCCTTAACTCACAACTACCCTCAGAGGTAACTAGAATTAGCAGTTAGGTTAGTATCTTTGATCTACCTTACTAGAAAGGGCAAAAACATATTATTCGCTGTCCTTCTGCCCATACCTATAAAGTTCTGAGACTGCGAGCACCTTATGTCTAAATACTTCACAGACTTACTGCTTGCAAATCATGATCCTGTTCCAGCTGATACATTAATTCACTCTTGAGGTCCATGCTTATTTGTTCTGGAGTAGCCTGTAAAATGAGAAGGCAACAATCACACAAAAGCATAATTCAGCTTCAAAATGAATCATTTTTTATCTAGATATCCTAATGAAATATATTCAAAAGTAAAACACGAAGAGTCTGATCTCAAAAATAATGTTGCACTCACGTAAGCCAGGGGCCCCTCATCAATGTTGCTACTAGTCCAAGGATTCCAGTTGGATTGTGGAGGTGACCAAGGAACCACGCCCACTTGGTTCTGCCGCTGAGATGGCTCAAAATGAGCCAATTTGCCAAGGTTGAGTACAACAGGCACAGAAGGATCATCAGGCTATTAAAAATAACAGAAAACAAAACAAAACCAAAAAACAATACTGGTTGTTTGTCTGACTAGAGAAGTACAATACAAAGGTAAACTAAATAGCTGTATGCTTACTAGGGGCACGATCTCAAGATTTAGCTCTTGAATGATGTTCTGCAGCTGATGCTCCAAATCTTGAGAAAGGTTAACTTTGTAAGGCTCCACCTACAGAAAAGGGATGGCCATGAAAATCATGTAACATACACACAAACACTACTCAAATCTACTACAGTAGGGTTAAGAGTATGCAGTCAACATTAGGTCTACAATAGTCCTAAACCCAACAAGTCAGTTCCCTCGTGAAAGAATTACTTAATGATGATTAGTAGGGCCAGTTCCATTTCTTGAGGCGAGAGTCCCAGAACTATCAAACTTCTTTAGCCAAATATTAAACAGAAGCTAAATTGAATCTTAAAATATCTCTTTGGGCTACTAAGTCTAAAGACTCACTGTCTCTCCTTCTTTCTTCTTTGTAAGTCCAGAGTAAGCTTCAATCACTCCAAGGTGGTAGAGTTGTCTGACAAGTGACAGCGCACAGGACTGTGCTGCCAATTTTTTATTTGATCCATGTTCGCGTGCAAAAATCCCTATAATTTAAGGTCAGGATTACCAACGACAGAAGGATAAATCGTCTAAGTAAAGAAAACATCTCAACATAAGCAACTAGGAGGTAAGGTACAAAAGCTGCCCTAAAATACAGTATGTTATGAGTTCTAAGTTCCTCTTCATTCTAACTGTTAACCAAAAGCCATACTTTAACAGCTTATCAACTAAATAGCCAACCATCTTGATTACAGGCACACACTAAGACACATACAAATCATTATAAAAGCAAATAACCTATTTCAACCAAGTTGTTATTATTAACATCATGTGGCATTAAAACAGGGGAAGAAAAGAGAGTTTAACTTCTGAAAAGTAAAGGATCAAAAAGCAAATCAAAGGAAAGAAAATGGGCCCAAAGTCCCTAGACCAGGAGACACCAATCTTCTTCGATAAAGGGTCAGAAAATAAATATTTTAGGCTTTGCAGGCCACATCGTCTCTTGTCACAATTACTCAGCTCTGTCTCTCAAGTGTGAAAGCATTCACTGACAATACTTAAACCAGGGTTTGACAAACCTATGGGCCCAGGAACTAAAAATGTTGTAAAATTTTTAAAGAGTCATAAATATAAGACAGAAATAATGTGTGATATATGTGACCCACTAAGCTTAAAGTATTTATCTGGACTTTTACAGAAGTTTGCTCTTCCCTGACATAAACAAATGACTGTAGCTGTGTTCCAATAAGTTTAAAACAAACTCCCATTCACACAGAGTAACTTATCTTTAAGGTCTAGGGTAAAAAAATTCAACATCATCTCCTCATGATTCATTCAAAGGCTTGATTCTATTAGCAGTCTTTGATATACTAAATTTAAGTCATCAGAGTTAGTTGCAGAATTCTTAAACTGGAAAGAATCTTCAGCCGTTTCTCCCAATTTTTAGTGAAGTAAATTGAGTCCCAGCAATGTAGGTGTGATTTATTCAAAGTCACAATACTTGTTAGTAACAAAACCAGGTACACAGGGCTATTCCATACTTTCAAGCATGACACACTGCTTGCTTTAAACTTACTAAGAATAAAGGCAATATATCTTTGCCTTTCTACTTCCTTTAAGAATAACCCCAACCTATTCCTTAAGTGCTTCCTCAGGGTAACCTCACCTTTTCTTCTTGACTCTGTGACTCTTAAATGCTCACATTCACTTTTAGGCCTCCCATCCTGTCATCTGATTAACTCCTTTCTAAATGTCACCTAGCTAGCCTTACCCAAAGGAATTATATCTTTTATGTAGAAAGATAAAAAAACATTTTAAAATTCTCTGACAGTGGCAGATTCTTCAGTAGCCTACCACCTCTTACCCTTTGAAATGTAAACTAACAATCTTTCTTTTCACATGCAAAAATGGGAAACTGGGCCTTCTAATATTCTAAAATACCCTAAATGCTACCTTATATCATGGACTCCATCAAATTAAATAAAGCTTACATATATGTGGCTCAAGACTTTAAAGCGAATACTACTCCACTATACAAGGCTCAGAGTATCAGGGAAGCACTTACTTCTGCCCAGCTGCTTGATATAAATGGTCATTTCTGCAATAAAGCTCCTGTAAGAATATATATAAACAAGGTTAGAAATTTCACTCTTAGAAATTATTAAATCCAGGACTCCCCAGTCAGGCAGGCTTTCCAACTGCTTAGGCAAATCAAAGCAAAAAACCACTGTAAACACTTATGTCTGTTCAATCCTCGAACAAATGAAGTACATAAACTTCAAATAATGCACAACATGGCACGAGACAGCTGTAATCAAAGCTGATGAACCAACTGTTCACAAAAAGAAAATGTTAGGGTTTTTGGTTCTATATTTACTTACTTTTAACTCTTATTTCACAGGTTGCAGTCTGAATAGCTAGAATACATTCAGTGAAAAGGAATTTTCCACTCAGCTTGAGGCCGTGGAATAAAATAGGCCTAAAACTCCTTAAATTACAGTTGTGATTGTTTTAAGATTCCTTTGCATGGGCCACCCACTAATGATTTCAATCTGCTAAGATAAACTAAATATATGCAAGTATGCACACATACACATGGGTGTACAACCACTGTGCACATGTCAGTGGTTTCTGAGGCGGGGGTCTGATATCTGCCTGCAGTTGGAAGCAGCCCTTGATAACAAAATATTTAGCTTACTTATATCACACTTTATTTAAATCAGGTCCTGGAGAACAAAATATTTTTGAAAATTATAGCTAAAATTGCTAGCAGATTCTAGGGAATAAATTTAGGTTTTAACAAGGGCAAAAATGCCCTTTGAAAACTATGCTTTCTGATCCCTTCCACTACTCATGTACATTCTAACCTTGAGTTTGTGCTGTGAATAAAAGGTTAGGTGAGACTTTAGAAAAAAAATAAATGTTAGATTCCTTCCTATACCTCATGTGAACTGACCTTCAGGCACAGCGGCTTCAGGGGTCAAAGGCCACTGGCTTTCAAGGGAACAACATCCACCCTTTCATTAATGACACCGATGCCAGTATGTTTCTCAGCCAGGCTTAAAGTCAGCACTCAATCTCATTCTCCTCCACCTAGGGGGAACAGCAACACCAGAAATCAGTTTACAATAGTTTCCCATGTGATTGCTTAGTTCAGCCTAAGCAGCAGCACATGTGTGTATGAACACAGACCTCTGGTGTTGCTGTCTGTTATGCCTTTAAATAAAGGACATATAAGGAGCAATGCTGTCCTAGCTCCCCCAACTTCTCTGCCTTCCTCACCATAGCCTGAATTCTTCAACTTTGTATCAGAAGCCAATAAGACACTTAAAAAAAAGTTTATAATACGCTTGAGGCATACTTAAATTATCTAACTGTTCTTAAAGTCACCAAGTGCTAAGCCCAATCAGTGCAGAAAAACAAAATATTTTTTTAAAAAAATCATCAACAAATGAATCTTTCCTTTATGATCTTTGAGGGTTTAAAAAAGTCTCACATTAAATTTAAGTATTTGAGAATTCAGGATTGAACAAAACAGTGCGAAGCAGGGGGAACCATGCTCTGAACATCATTTTGACCAGTGTCAAAGTTTTTTGTTAGTTATTATTTTAGAGCTGCTAGATGCAACCAAAGAACCCTTTGATTTTCAAGGGAAAAACTTTTGATGTATTTTGAATAATTTATTTCATATAAGGACAGCAAATTAAATCATCCAGATTTCCATTATAACATCCCCTCCCTTCCAATAAAATATAGTGCCCCCAGAAGAGTCTAATCCATATGAGCCTTCCTGGGAGTAATAATTACTACACCCTGGAATGCTCTCAGGAAGAACAGCAAGCAGGCTGAGAAACATACTGTCACTGTTAGAACAACCTCCTCCCTTTATGTTCAGTTTTATAAATTTAACAGAATAAAAGTGTGCTAATTTAACTCACATACAAAGATTGAGGCTCTCCTTCAGCTTTACAATAAGCCCTTAAAAGTTCAATAGGACTGAAGAGCTGGCAACTTTCCAAGCTGATGGGAACTTTGGACCTAGATGCAATGCCATCTACCTCTGAACACTCTAAACTTAAGTGTCTAACTTGACGCGTTGAAGAAATAAACATTATAACTGCCTCTAATACCACAGTGAACAATAAACTCACTACCTCTGGCTGATTTTTAAGTCAATTATGGACAAACCACTACTTGTGGCTATGAGTTTTGCCTCTCAGATCCATACGAGAACCTAAAAGTCTACCAACACAAACAGGAGATTTGTGCAGAACTTCTTACACAGCTAAAATCACACTCCTAAGTGAAAACCATGGTAAACTGCACATTACAAACCAATAACAATTTTTCTCGGGCAAAGTAACATATCCTCCCAATTTGCTGCTAATCCACAAACTGAACCAGATAGCACGTACAAAAATAGAATGACTATACAAAACCCTAACTTACTACAGAAGGCAAAGAGTGAAACAAGCAAACCTGTTGTGATCAGGACCCACTTGGGTGTACTTATATTCTCCTTGGATCTTTTCTTTTTGGAAATATTGGTTCAGACGAGCCTTAGCATTTTCCAAGGTCCAGTTTCCATGTAGCCCAGCATTTAAATCCACTTCTTCGGATTCAAGGGTCTGTTGAATCAATGATAATTTGGCTGCACTAAGTTTAGTTATGTACACTTAACGCACAAAAATTTATAACAATAGCTTTTTTGTACCATGCTTTATAATGCAAAAGTTGTTTTTTTAAGTTTCTAATCCTAGTCAAAATTGAGCCAGAATTTAGTTTTTACTCCATGTGATGGCCCTATTGTATAAACAAGCTATTAGTTAACGTACTGTATTTAAACTGTTCCAAAGAAACCTTTGACAAAATTTTTTACGCTGGTTTTAACACTTTACATATATCAAGTGGAAAAGTAAGTGTTCTGTCTTATGAAAACGCTTTTACTACGAGTGCTCATGAAAGGACGTTTACTGAGGCAACTACATTTCCTACAAAGCAGAAGAGATCTTTTATTATATTAACACCATGAAAAACTGTTTTATTTCACAGGCAATTCTAATGACCAGATTTAACAGGCAGCTTAGGTTTATGGTGTTTTGGGTGAACAATCAGTCTCAAACAACTACTTAAAACAATCACCAACTTATTAAGTTGCAAATATCTTAAACCTTGCCATGAACCAAGTCCTAAATCACATTCCAGGAGGTGTAACACAGGGTTACAGCCTTACCGCTTGTACTTCTTGCTCTTCTTTTCTTGAGTAATAATCCTTCAAATTGGCTCCTCGATCCCAGGTGGGCCCAGGAGCACCATAGCCAGAGGCCCCAATTCCAGAATTATTTTCTATTACGGGAAGAAAATGATTGTTCCCTTGATAAATCAAACTGTATTAAGATCCTAAATATTAAAAAAAAAATACTCCTAATTTAGATTTTAGCACTCCATTATTAGAAATCTAACATTTCAGTTATTTGGAAATGGGTCTGAAACCTCTATGACTTACCTGGAAAGTGTTACGTGACTGAATACAGGTCTAAATTGCTAATTCCAAAGATGGTATACAGGGGGGTGCTACAAGTAATGATCGTAAGTGACTGATAACCTAGCATATGTTATCAATGTAGCTTTAAGTTGTTGCATATGTATTGGGTTGGCCAAAAGGTTCGTTCAGATTTTTCCTGTAAGATGGCTCTAGGAGCACTTAAAGTTGTCTTCAACTTCATTTAAAACAATTTTGTTAGACTGTATGTGACAGCTGTCATATCAGCGAGCATTTAATAAAAGACTTATCAAAATTGGTGAATTTTTGTGTAGCCATTTTAATACTGAAGATGGAAGGAAAAAAAGCAACATTTTTGGCATATTATGCTTTATTATTTCAAGAAAGGTGAAAACGCTACCGAAATGCAAAAAAAGATTTGTGCAGTGTGTGGAGAAGGTGCTGTGACTGATCGAACGTGTCAGAAGTGGTTTGTGAAATTTCGTGCTAGAGATTTCTCCACGGTCAGGCAGACCAGTTGAAGTTGACAGCGATCAAATCGAGACATTAACTGAGAACATTCAATGTTATACCACATGGGAAATAGCTGACATGCTCAAAATATCCAAATCAACTGTTGAAAATCATTTGCACCAGCTTGGTTATGTTAATCATTTTGATGTTTGGGTTCCACGTATATTAAGCAGAAAAAGCCTTCTTGTCTGTACTTCCCGCATGTGATTCTCTACTTAAACACAATGAAAATGCTCCGTTTTAATTTATTTTTTAATTATTACTTTAAAATTTATTTTATTTATTTATTTTTGGCTGCACTGGGTCTTCATTGCTGCTTTCTCTAGTTGTGGTGAGTGGGGGCTACTCTTAGTTGCACTGTGCGGGCTCTAGGCACACGGGCTTCAGTAGCCGTGGCTCGCGGGCTCTAGAGTGCAGGCTCAGTAGTGGCGCAAGGGCTTAGTTGCTCCATGGCATGTTGGATCTTCCTGGACCAGGGCTCAAACCCATGTCCCCTGCACTGGCAGGCGGATTCTTAACCACGGTACCACCAGAGAAGTCCCAAACGTTCTGTTTTTAAAACAAATTGTGACAGGTGATGAAAAGTGGGTACTGTACAATAATGTGGAATGGAAGAGATCATGGGGCAAGCGAAATGAACCACTACCAACCACAACAAAGGCCTGTCTTCATCCAAAGAAGGTGATGTTGTGTATATGGTGGGACTGGAAGGGAGTCCTCTATTAATGAGCTCCTTCCAGAAAACCAAACCATTAATTCCAACAAGTACTGCTCCCAATTAGACCAACTGAAAGCAGCACTCGACAAAAAGCGCCTGGAATTAGTCAACAGAAAACGCATAACCTTCCACCAGGATAATGCAAGACCACATGTTTCTTTGATGACCAGGCAAAAACTGCTACAGCTTGGCTGGGAAGTTCCGATTCATCCACCGTATTCACTAGACATTGCACTTTCAGATTGCCATTTATTTAGCTCTTTATAAAATTCTCTTAATGGTAAAAAATTTCAATTCCCTGGAAGACTGTAAAAGGCACCTAGAACAGTTTTTTGCTCAAAAAGCTAAAATGTTTTGGGAAGATGGAATTATCAAGTTGCCTAAAAAACGGCAGAAGGTAGTGGAACAAAAGGATGGATACGTTGTTCAATAAAGTTCTTGGTGAAAATGAAAAATGTGTCTTTTATTTTTACTTAAAAACCAAAGGCACTTTTTGGCCAACCCAATAATAGCTGATTAAATGATTTCTTTGCTAAGTATGATCCTGAAAGAAAGCTAACTACTAGTGCTAGAGACGGAAATAAGGAGAAGCTTAAAAGGTGTTGAAAAGTGATGAATCTTGACGAGAAAGCAGAATAACTAAAAATAGTAGTTAATATTGACTGAAACTCTACCAAGTTTATTATATGCTTTTTAAAAGTTTACTTTTCATAATAATCTTATAAGTAAGTACTACTGCTATTCTTGTTTCATAAACACTGGATCTGAGACTTAGGCAATTTGACAAATATTCCACTTAATCTACCCTACAGTGGACACACTAATAAAGTTTGGGTATATATAGAATTCAGCAATGACTGGGATCCACAAGGCAAACAAACAAGCCTACAATATATTTGGTAGAAATAAGTTAGAAACAAGAAAGGGCAGTAAATAAGACCTCTTTAACCAAATGTTCTAGCCTGTGCAAAATCTATCCAGAGATCAAAAACTAGTAAAAGCTAATGACAGCAAGGAATTGAGCTGTAGCAATTTATAAAAGAGATTAAATAATCTGGTGGTATTCGCAAGTTTATGTAGTTCTTGGGTTCTCTGAAAATTATGAGTTTACTATAGTTATTTCCATCTATCCAAGTGAGAAAGAAAGATGATGACCATGCAAGATTGTGTATCTTATTCTCAGTCATGTGCACACATTCAAGTCCCTTACCTGCCTTGAGAGCCAGATGGGGAGGAAGAGGTCCTCCCATGGTTGTTGGTAAACCTCCACCAGTATCTGCTGTGCTGTCAGGTGCATCAGTAATTGGGGGCGGAGGGGGTGCTACCTGCAAGAGGAAAAGTCAAGGCAGTGTCAATAATATTGCCTTCAAAGACTATTAAATTCTTTTATTCTTAGAGGAGGTCCACGTGTCACCCCTCCTTTCCTCATAATATTAACATCTTTGTTTTTTCAGTATTATAAAACTATTATGCTCTCATTTCAGGCAGAAAAGGATAGGGCAGTAAAAATATTCATAATTTTCCATCTGGAGATTACATAATTATGTAGATGAATACAGTTTTTCCACAAAAAGTTTATGCTGTATAGTTAATTTGACTTTTCCACTTAATATCTTTTTTTAAATAAAATATTTATTTATTTGGCTGTGTCAGGTCTCAGTTGCGGCACATGGGCTTCTCTCTAGTTGTGGTGCTCAGGCTCTAGAGCGCGCAGGCTCAGTAGTTGTGGAATGCATGGGCTTAGCTGCCCCGCAGCACGGGGGATCTTAGTTCCCCGACGAGGGATCGAACCCGCATCCCCTGCATTGGAAGGCAGATTCTGAACCACTGGACCACCAGGGAAGTCCCTTCACTTAATACCTTTATAAACATGTTCAACTTCCAAGAAGCATCTGTTAAGAGACGTCTACATGGTAGACATTATTATGGGTACTGAGGATAAAATAATGAACCAACCAGATGTTCTGTAGTTACAGAGCTATATTCAAACAGCTACATTCTAATTCTGTATTCTTACAGAGCTAAATAAACAACAAATACACACACAGTATGTCAAGTATAATACAATACTACCAGAAAAGAAAAATAGGAACTGTTAGAGATCACAGTCTCCATGTTAACAGACATTCAGATTGTAGCCAATCTTAAATCATAAAACAGCATTGCCATAAACTCTTTGTACTTTGGCTTATTTCTTTTGGGAAAAATTCACGAAAGGGAACTTCCTGGGTTAAAAGGCATCAAGATTTAAAAAAGCACCATAGCGCTCTACAGAAAGGCTGACTTCCAAGCTTGCACTCTATATGAGAACCTATTTCCCCACAGCCTCACCAATCCTCGGAATTACAGCATACGTCTTACATCTTACCAGTATTAGTTTTGTTTTGTTGTTATGGCGACCGGTTATTTTCATTTACATTTTCTTTGCCCATTATTCTATCTGGATAATTCATCATTCCCACTAATTTCTAAGAATTTAATATTTCAGTGCTATTCACTGTGTCATACAAGTTGCAAAATAATCTGTCCTTTTCATTTTAACTTTGTTAAACGCTGCTTAACGTTATTTTTTGTTTCTGCAGTCAAATCTAGTTTCTGCTGTGACACCTCAGTAAAATGGCCTTTCCTATCCTGAGACCTGTTCTACGTTATTTGCATACACACATAGGCACATGTATGCATATACCATCCCTCCCCATCTTGAAACTAGTATCATGCAAATTTAGTTACTGCAAACTAAAAATAATTTAAAATCTTTATTAATATATAGTAGGAATGGCTAATACTTTTAACTTCTTCAAATTCTTCAGCAGTAATTTTTCCTAATTACCTTTTTCATCTAATTTACCAAATATTATGTTAAATTTATAGAACTTACTCAGGGAGAACACGACTTCCTGACAATGAGCTGGCTGCTGTCTTACACTCCCACCGGCTGACATCTTCCAGTAACATGCGTGCCCAAATATGTGGCTCTACATTTCATCACTTTTCTATCTGCTGAGACAATCCCCCACAGATATCTCATGCTTTTTCAAGCTTTATTTAAACATTTTTTCAAGGATGCTTGGAGAGCAAATAAACTTGCAAGATGAAGACAATATCTTCCTCCAGGGTAGGAGGCAGGTTTGTTTCCTAACAAGTATCATAAAGATAGCCGGCAGCTTTGCCAGCAGCCCCCCAACACTGGGGGGCTTTCCTAAGCTCAGGTGCCTCAGCTGTGATACAGACCCACTGTGTCCTCAGCATCCACCTGGACCTACTCCACACCGCCCCCCAAGGGGTTCAGGGACAAGGGGGAACTGAGGCAAACATGAAGAATATGGTGCCTACTATCCCATGAGTAACATCCTTTGTCTCTGACTCAGAAGTCTTGTGTCTTCTGTCAGTATCTATGAAACTGTGGCGTCTGAACTGTTAGCTTGCAAGTTCAGTAAAATCTCAGACTCTTAAGAGTTCTTGATGCTATCCTTCAGTGAAAATCCATTGCACTGTTCTTACAGGTCCTACAAACTACATATGCACAAGTTCTTTATAATTTTTACTATTATAGTAAGATATGTGTCCAATTAAATTCTTTATAATATTTACACCTCATTTCTTTCTACATATTCCTTTTATTCCTTTTTATTTACTGCATTACACTGAGTAATGGTGGTGACAGTGGACACCTTGGTCTTGTTTTAACTTTACAGAAGTTCCCCTAGCACAGGGCATCTCCAACTATCCGCAATTAAGAACTGGCTTTGAGTTTTTTCCCCTAATCCACTGGAAACAATATTTTTGTAAAATATACCAAAAATAAATCCCTAGAAATATGAAATAGAAAAACATAAAATACAAGCCCAAGTTTTCTAATTATTAGATTCAACAAATACAAGTTTACTGTCAAAACATCATTAAGTATTTCTAAATTCTTACTCATTTCTGTATTTACCTCCTCACAAACTGTAACAAACACTTTGAGCAGCACTTTTTTAGTACAGTGTTCACTATTATTTTTAGATGATACCTTTTAGCATGTCTAGGAAGTATTTTTCTACTCCATTTCCTAAGTACCTTATTGGTAATAAGCACTTAATCCTGTCACATGTGTTTTTTAAAACCTCTATTAAGTTGATCACTGAGTAGATATTTCTTCTACACTCATCAATGTGATATAGTAAAAAAGTCGGATTACACAGTTCTGACTCAGATCTGCTAGAGGTGTCATAAGATATGGTATGTGCAACAAATTACTTTTCTCAAATACAAAACATGCTGCATTCTCAAACCCATCTAACCACGTGAGTTTTTGATAAAGGACTGTGAATCTAGTTACTTTTTTCTTAATTAGACTTGGGATGGACTATTTATCTTTTACAAAGAACATCAAAAATTTTTACTTATCACTTTTATTGATACTTTTTTCCTTTCTAATTCAGCAATTTCTGATTTTGCCTTTAATTTCTTCCTGTTTTATCTGGTGTATCTTCCTGAATTGAAACTTATTAGCCCATTCATTTAAAAAACTATCCCTTGTATAAAAATAAAAGCATTCGATGATGTTCCTTTGAATAGAATATTCCTCTGGCACTCCAGAGTTTTGATAGACAATGTTATCTAAACAGTCTGTAATTATAATTTTAAATTTTCACTTCGAAGTAAGAATTCAAATTTCCAAGTGTTTGGAATTTTTTGGTCCCTTTGCCACTGTCTCCCATTACCATCTTGGTTCTGCCAATACATACATTAGTATTTCTAATGCTAGACAGACTGATACACTGTGAATTGATGTTTCTTTGTCTTTGTTGTCTTTGCTGCTTCCTTCCTTAAAGTTTGCTCTGATATTAATATTGCTACTCCTACTTTATTTTGTACTTCATTTGCCTGGTACAGCTTTATTTATGTCTTTATTTTCAATCTTTTTGACTGAAAGATTTCTTTATACAGATAGCATAGGGCTTGAGGCAAAGTACAGCCTACTCCTGGGACACCGTTAATAGCCAGGTCCCAGCAAAAAACCAGTGAGCAGCACTGGTGCCACAATGTTTACTTGTCTTTCCTCTTTCCACCACCTTGCCACTCCAGGGCCACAATTCCATTCTACCTCACTCTCTATCTACATCAACTTAAGAAAAAATTTCTTCAAGATTGAGGTTTTGTTAGTGGGACAACTTCCTACTTTCCAGTGATGGGGAGTATTATGGATTAAATGCCTGTGTCTCCCCAAAATTCATATATATTGAAATCCTAAGCTCCAATGTGATAGTACCAGGAGTCAGGGCCTATGGGAGGTGATAAGGCCATGAGAGTGGAGCCCTCCTGACAGGGTACAGTGCCCTTACTAAAAAAAAAAAAAAAGCAAAGCAGAGAGCTCTTTCACCAGACACTGAATCAGACAGAACCTTTATCTTAACACTTCCGCAGCTTATGTAAGTGTGATAAGTAAGCCACTCAGTCTATGGTACTTTGTTATAGCAGCACTAAGATACGAAGGATTTCCTTTTTTACATTTACTGATCTATTAAGATTAAGATGCAGAAAGGGGTATTAAAAGGCGCGTCACCGTGCATAAACTTGGCTCTGCCTTAAGGAACGTTTAATGACATGAGAAAATGTTTATTATATTAAGATAAGCGAAAAAACAAGGTTATAAAATAGTATACGCAATTTGTATTCTATCATGTTAAAATACGCATTTAAATATCTAAGTAAAAATACAGATTTTAGCGACACTGGCAATACTATGGTTTATTTATGTTGTCTTTTTCATAATCTTTATGTTTTCTAAAATTTCTGCAATGAACATGTATTAAACACTGTAAAAAAATGTTATTTTTTTAATTCGAGAACTAACAGTAAAACATGAACTACCAATAGATAAGCAAATAGACAATTAAAAGAAGGAAGTTAGAAATAATTAACATTTAGAACAAATGGTCTACTTATTAATAACGAAAGAAACACAAATTAAAACACTATCATTTTTTCTCTCTTAAATAATTTTTAAAAAGACTATCAAAACGACTAAATCTGTTGATATAGGTGATACGGTGAAATGTACAATGGTTCAAGCATTCTGATAATCTTGCAATATTACATTAAGAATTCAACACAGTATTCAACGTAGACTCACCTACAGATTGATGTGACCAACCCCCCGCCCAACAGAGGTGACAAAATAGGTTCATTATTTCAGAGGGCATACTGTTCCTATGAATAAATCAAACAAAATCCCCATCAAAAACCAAAAAGATTTTCATCTAATAGAAGGAAGCAAGGCCAGAAAAACTGTTCATTGTACATAATTTAAAAATTCAAGTTTAGGAAAAGAGACAAGTTG